TAACATTTTCAATTTAGAATTTGTTACCATATTTTTAATTTATCAAGAGAAACTACAATAATAGCCTTTGTAGGAATTTTACAGATACAATTTTTTATAACTCAAACTCAAACATTTATTGCTAAACCATAATGTACATAAGATGTTATGAAATAGTGCGTGACCAGTGTTATAGACCCTGTTAGGCATGCAATTTAGGGGCTAGGAGAGTGGAAGCATATTTAACTACTTATAAGAATGTCATTGTGGTTTATTGAGATAGAATTAAATTCAAATGAGTGATAATTTTTTTGAAACCTATATATGTGTTATTTATAAAATATACATTAGTAGTATAGTAACATTTATTAGTTAGGTACTGTTTTAATTTTTTTGTAAATATTATGTCATTATTTTCATTTTTTAATATGTCAGGTAGTTTATTATATAATTTTATGGAAGAACTTAATATACTAGAAGTATTTAGTTTTAATCGGGAAGTTGGCAGTACTAATTTATTTTTGCATGGTTAATTTTCACGTTTTGTATAAAATTACTTATTTTTCCAACAATTTACACATCTCCGTTATAATATATATGCTGGGTAAGGTTAATATTTTATATTTAAGAAAGGATGGTGTGCAGTTATTAGTCTGATCTATATTTGCTATAATAATAATTGGGATTTTTTTTAGATTTTTTTTTACTCTTGCTGTTGCCCCACAGAATGATGCCGTAACTCAGCCAAGCGCACACTTGCTATGCATAGTAGGTTGTTATTGCAGTTTCTATGTTGGTAGTTTTTTTTTTTTTTAATTTTGCATAATGCTTATGAGAAGCTTGAAAGTTTAGACCTCACTGTATGGATATGCACTTTCCAATTCTAGTGAGTGTCTATACCTAGTAATTTAAATTCTTTCACAGATTCTAAAATTGCACCATTGTAATCGAATTTTATATTTAATGAAGTTTTTTGATGGGGATCAAAAGTTATTATTTGTTATATATTTTAGTTTTAAAAAATTTATTTTTAGATTATGATCATTCAACCAGTCTAAAGTTTTGGGAATTAATAAATAAAGTTTTTCATAAACATCAGTATCGTTGTGGCATGAAGTTAATAGTGATATACCATTGGCAAACAAGACAGACGTTTCTTCTATAGCTTTAGAAATGTCATTGATGTACATCAAAAATAAAGACATCCAAAGACACTTCCTAGCGGTATTGATGCATTTGTTAACATTTCCAAGTTATGTGTTATATTATTTTTATTATAAGTGTTATTTATATTATATTTACAATTCTGAATTTTTTACCACATATTGAGTTTATAATGTGTTAAACAATCTGTTTTCAACCCCCGATGTAAAAGAGGGATAAAGTAAAGTTGCAGCCTATTTACGTCCCACTGCTGGACACAGGCCTCCTCTCATTTCTGAGAGGGTTTTAGTGCAAGGAAATGTCCGCCGCGCTGCCCCAATGCGTGTTGGCGAACTTCACGTCTTCGAAATATTTTTTTTCTTATTTCTCAGACATGCAGGTTTCCTCACGATGTTTTCCTTCACCGCCGAGCACGTAGCAAATCAGCGCTTAAAATTGCAATTAACAATTTCATTGGTGCCGGCGGGGATTGAACCCGGATTGCTCGAGTACTGTGAAGCTTACAGCGCGCGCTAAACATCTGAGCTACCACGGCTCTGAAGTAGGGTGGCAGCACAGATGGTTAAAGCGGAGTGATAGCTCATAAAAGAGTGAATAAATTTAGGTGGTTTTTTTTATTCAAAAGCAGGTTTTGTAGCAGTGGTCCTTAAGACGTTTTATCAAAATCGGTCCACCTGTTTCAAGGTCATCACCTTGTTTTGTTAGCTGCGGTAGGACTCTCTTCCGTGGTTTGTAAAATTTTCATTTTACGTTTTAGTGCCTAACTCTAACACTGACTTAATTTTATCAGGCCTTAGTAAGTACTAGCTAGCATGCTATGCTCTGAAGATTTGCCTATAAATTCACATTATTCGGTTCTATGCTTAAGACAAAGTAAATACCCTCTCTGGTATAAAGGTAATGAAACCCCGGCTTAGCTTTCCATTTACTCCCATCGCGTTGGGGATTGATACGTATTTTTACATAAAAGTTACACTATTATAAGCACACACATAAAGTTTCAATATGCGCAAACACGTACTTTTTGAGAAAAAACATTATTTGAAAATTAATTATTTTTGCAATGTTTATGTTACATTCCTAGCGTAAAACTGGCGCCATTTTGTAATGTCATTGTCGTCGTCAGTACGGATGTCGATTCTTTCCGAAAAAGATAGATTTTTAAATCGATTCTAATAGTAAGATGTCGTGATATCACAAAAAATGGATTTCTAAAATATAGATATATTTTCCTGTTTGCATTTATAAGATACCATAATAAATGATTTTTTATGGAAAAAAAGAAAGATAATACAATAAATGATCTCTTATAAGTAAAATCAGTTTTAATGGCGATTTTCAAGGATGTTTATTTTAACAGTACCTATTAGGGCAGATAATAAATAAAATAGGTTAGGTTCTACTTATGTCAAAGAACCAAATTTATTGACCCCGACTCCACGTGGTACGAGTCTGTCCTACCCCTAGAGTGGTTATATAGAATCGGAGGCGCGTAGGGGGAGTAGCCTCCGCCTGCTGTAACTGATGGGATGCCTGCGATTTGTTACGCAAAGGCGTAGAGGCTGCTCTTCCCGCAGCGCCGGAGACGTTGCAGTCTCAAAATATATACAGAAATCCCTCTGAATTAGTCCCCCTACACCTCTTCTCCCCCCCCCCCCCTCCCCTCAATTCGACGAATGTCAATGGAAATTCGTAATAAAGTAGGTTTAAAAGGGCTAGAACCCAGAGCCGTAAAGCCAGTTTAAAAAAAAAAAAATTGTTAAAATAAGTGATTTCTATTAATTTATTTCTCAAAAAATACGTGTTTGCGCATATTAAAACTTTGTGTGTGTGCTTATAAAAATGTAACCTTTCTGTAAAAATACGTATCAACACCAAACTCGATGGGAGTAAATGGAAAGTCGTACCGAAACCCCACGTTTTAGAATGGACTTTCACCATCAGGACTTCGTCCGTTTATCAATATTTATATAACTCTATAAACGACGAAATATGAAACATATGATGTAAAATTAACGTCTTTTATAATATGAAACATATTAAATAATTTAGGTAGGTAGGTAGGTGGTATTGTTAACGTGTTAGCAAGGGTCTCCTTTTTTAATTGAAATTTCTTTTTTATTTAGGATAAGACGATTCAATTTTATAGAAAAAATGGTATATATGCAAAAGGTCTAACTTACCGAGGTGTGATGGCTGGAACGTTCAGTTTCGTTGTCATCATCGCTTCCGTATCCAACGAGAGAATCCATTATATATGAACAGTAACACAAATTTGTAATATCTACACAATCTTTAGTAAAAAGTAGAATAATACTAAAGTATTAAAAAAATCTAGAAGCTTAGAAGTAAGAAGCAGAACATTGGAAAATAATAATTTTTGGCTTTAATTTTTCTTTTTACTAATATGGCGACGGATAAAGCCATAGAGATTTTTTGTTGTTGTTACGTTTCGCCCATTATCGTAGCAAAGGTCATAAACCATACGACCTTAGTATTTTGTTCACAAAAGTCTTCACAAAATGTTGATGTGAAGATTTAGACGACAGCTTAACCAAACGGACAGTTGATGTCGATATTTTCTTAAAATCCATAAGCGAATAAGAACCTGAGATTTATATCACCAATGAACATATTACTTCGTTTCTACTAATAGTTCAAAAGCATGTACGTTTAATACACAAAATCAGACCACTTCTGTACATTAAAATTCACTTCAAACCATTATTAAAACTAAGCAATATAAAAAACAAGAGGAAGCCCGAGGTATTTAATGAGAGGAATATGTTGAGGGCTATGTTTGGAATTTCTTTGTGTGATAAACTTAGAAAAGAGGATATTAGAACCATAGTGACCAACCTAGCCTAACGAATTAAGCTGAAGTGGCTATGGGCCGGCCATATAGCTCGAAGGACCGACAAATGATGGGAAAAAAGGTTTTCGAGTGGCTGCCTCGTACCGATAGGCAAAATGTAGAGCAACCCCCAGTAGATGTAGTGACGACCTGGTAAGGGATGCAGGAAGTTGATGGATGCAGGTGGCTCAGGACTGTACTTTGTGACATTCCTTGGGGGAAGCGTCTTGTGAAGGGCTGTAATGATGATGATGATTATTCGAAACTTCTTAATTTCTGATGCGTAAATTGCAGCATATATTATAATAACGGAGGGAACTTTAAGAAATAATGGTTTCAATATTTATATTATTATAGTATATTTATCGCTAAAATTAACTTTTAATAAAATGGAAAAAGCGACTTTAAAGAATAAAATTATTTTTAAATTGTATTAAAACTATTTCACATTCTGAATTTAGTTCTAAATAAACATAGTTTATAAAATTACAGAGAGTGTAATATATAAACTTTTAGTTTTTTTAAGTTGGCTCTCTCAACGTCATCTAAATAGTTACATTTTTACTTCGTACCATATTTTGCCACCTTATGGATGGATTTTTTTTATCAAATTTGTATGGGAGCGCTCTTGAAGACTTATTTAATAAAAAAAGAATCATCAAAATCAGTTCAAAAATAATAAAGATGTCGTGTATCATAGAATATACAATAAAAACGGAATATAACAACCTCTTATTTTAATAATCTATCAATCTCTTGCTGCTTTTTCCTGTCATTTCACATTTTTAAAACATATATTTAACTTATAATTCATGAATATAATTTTTGCTTTATTATTTCCAAGAATACGATTTGCCATCATTTTAATTTTAATTTATGATTTCATTCTGATGTTTGTTGTATTGAATTCATAGCATTTGTGAAAATATCCGAACGTACAATAGTGCAGAAAGAATTATTTTCTTCTTTTCTCCTTTTCTCTTTGGATTTAGATTATTTTTTTAATATGGCGGAATCATTGGCCGCCGTCGGGTTGTGTGATAATTTTATAAGTGCAATTTGAGAATTTTGCGCGATTCATCCGCGATTGTGATGATAAAAGAAATATAAATAATTGTGTACGCATACTCACTGCTGAATAATAGACCTCAAACATCTTTAACTGTTAATTCACTCCTAAAAATGGTAATGATAGTTTTTTGTTTTGATACTTTTTTACAAACTTAACTTTTGTGAAAATTTCATTTTTCAACTTATCCTGTTTGAATTTCTTTAAATTCTAGCGCTAAATGTGTTCGAATAAGAGTATGTATTGAATAAGATTTACAAAAGTCGTATTTTTCAGCATTTTTTTCTTTGTTTTCAAGTTTTCTAACCAAAAAAAAATCATGAGCTGGATGGCATCCTCACATGTGATAATTTACATGCATTTTGCTTACAATTCCGAGTCTTGAAATGATTAAGGTATTAATTATGCAAGTGGGTGTGGCAGTATTGATTTTCTTAGAAGGTTCTAGGTATAGTATTAGGATACGTCTTAATAACTGCACTAGGTCTACGCGAACCACACCAGTGCAATGCGGTAGTGCGATGGTAATGTTTTGTCTAATATCATGATATGTCTTTCTCAATATTTAGATAATTTCTATTGTATGAATGTACAATTACTTTACGCTTTCATATGGATTAGATAATTTCGGCTTGCCCTTCAAATTGATGCTGCAACATGAGTATGAATGTGGGTGTTAGTTATTTCACGTTACAAAATGTAAAAGGATTTTCATGGCCCATAAAAAGTTTTTTAACGATTTTCTTATCAGTTATGTAATTTCGTCCATAAACTTGAAATATTGGCAGTTGTAAAAATGTAACACATGTTTAGTGTACAATTTCCATAAAAACATTTGAATTTTCATCATATCGTTTATGATTTTTTTTTAATTTCTTCAATAGTATCTCTATTTAAGAATTTTAAAAAATCATAGATATATATCGTATTATAATATTTCCTAGTAATAATGTGTGCTTGAAATAAGTTTTTTAATTGTTCATCAGTTAGATTATTAAAAGAAACAGTATGTAATGGTTAAGGGTACAGACTGCATACTTGGAAAGTTGTAGGCTCAAAATTGCCATTCAAGTATTGTTGTGAACCACTTCTAATGTAAGCATTTTAAGCTTACTTTTTTAATAGAAAAAGGGTAACAAATGAGCATACTGCAGTCCATCTGATAGTAAGTAGATATTATGGCTCATAGTCACCTACATTTATCCTTGTTTAAAAATCAAAATTCAGATGCATTGTCATCCTTGAGAAGTGGTTAACAGGAATATTATTAATGTTGTTATTGTTACTAATGTTCTATTTAAAAAATAATGCTTATGAAAATATCTTTTTGAAATATAAAGAATTTTATATTTTCTTGTTATAGTTGTTAAATACTTATAGTATTTTAAATTTTTAGTCTAAACGGGCTGCATATGGTGATGATGAAGACAATCCACCTACTCCATCTGATGATTCTGACTTTGATGATGACGAGGACCCAGATAATTTGGAAGTGCCAGGTACAAACACGATTCAGTTAAATGTACAATATTATTATCTGTAATTTGTCATAGGGAAGGAGTTGCATAATATTATGTTAATTCACAATCTTGTAAAATAGCAATTGTGATTAGTGACATTTTATTTTCTATACCCTGTTCACTTTTGCATTACTATCTATGTTGTGTACCACCACTACTATCTATGTTGTGTACAGTTTATGGCAGTCTGAATATCCACTTCCTCATATTTTACCGTGAGTGTAGTAAAAGATTATCATCTTTATAGATAGATAGAATACATATACACTTTATAGATAGAAACAAACCAGGAGATGTGCAGCAGCATCTTAAAATAAGAAAATTAAAAATGGACATTGGTAACTGGCCTGCTAAGCGTGGCAACTTTGGTAAGTATCCCATTTATGAGACAATCTTTAGATAAAGAAAACCCTTTAGGCTGGAGGGTTAAAGGGTTACCAACCTTACGTGGTAGAGCCATGCTGTAACTATATTAGTAGTATAGTTGTACACAAATGGATCGGCTCGACCGGGGAAGGACCACGCTTTCACAGAATACCAGCGTAAAATAGCAGCTTAATACTGCTGTGTTTCGTATGGTAAGTGTAGAGAACCGGTGACCCGTTTTACTGGAAAAGAGGTGTTCCATCTTAGTCCTCATGGGTGACAAAGCATCTGCATTTTGATTCACAAACAAGGATAGATGTAGATGTCTATGGGGTACAGCAACCACTTACCGTCAGGTGGACTGTGTGCTCATTTGTCACCCTATCCTATAAAAAAAACCTACAAGGACTCCTTGAAAATCCTACCAAAGAGGTTGTAGGTTATTAATTGACCCTTGGCTCTCTTGCAAAACAAAAATTTTACCAAGTCAGATAAGTTTTACCTATGGCAAGATTTCAAATAACATTATGTTATAATAAACTAATTAATCAGTTTTAACACTAGTGAGATTTCTTCTCTCTTTTACAGCACAGTTTACTGCTTGTTATTTCATTACTTATACTTTTTTGTTTGTTGTCCTTAGGTGGTGGAAAAACATTGGCAGCAGCTGCACGAATGGGAGTTAAGGCGAAGGTTACTGCGGCGCCACAAACCATTACTATCAGACCCACCACAAACCCATTAGCTGGTAAATTACAACAATGTAATCATTGTAGATAATCCACAATAGGCGGCCCTCCTCTAGATGGGGTGACGATCCAGTAAAAGATGTTGGAAGTAAATGCATTTGAATTGATGAATTGAATAAACGGGCTGTAAGGGCATTTATTCGAGCCTTGAAATCTCCCCGAAGGAGTTCAACAGTCCTTTGATGTTGCCGTTTCTGCCTCCCCAATACATGCCCTGCACAGGGGACTGTCCATAACACCTTTGTTAAATAAATGTTTGTTAAAGTTGCATGTCCTGTGATAGCACTTGTTACTATCCTGATCTGCGGCTTGTTCAGTCTCATTAGAACCTTGGTGAAACAACTGTTTATTTCAGGCAGGGCCTTCCCTAGCTTGTCTACAATCTACAAGTTTTTTCCAAAGTTGAGCAAGTTGATTAGTATAGTATCTAAGTACCAGTGAATGAACGTTACCAAAAGGGATTGGTATGATTGGTTCCGGCCCTGTAGTGGCCAGAGTCGATCCTCTTCTGGCCAGTTCGTCTGCTGCATCATTGCATCTGGATGCAATGTATGCTGGTGCCAAGAAAGTAAATGTATGCTGGTGGCTCAGGATTGTGCTTAGTGACATTCCTTTAAAGAAGCCTGTGCTTAACAGTAGACTTGTGAAGAGCTGTAATGATGGTGATGATAAATCAACATCACACTACCAACTTACCTTTAAGACATTATGAAAAATAAGAAAATTAAAAATAATATGACCTCATAATATGTGGACTTTCTTATTTATAAATATAATTAAATGATAACATGAGTATCATTTAATGAATAATGATGAATATCAAACATAGAAGATCTTAATTTTGCAATTTCATCCATGAAGACTGTGATAGAATGTGTCTCAACCTGTAATTATACTATATTATTTCTGTACCTATATTATTTCAAACCATAAAGTAACAGCATTGCTTAGTGACAAAATTAGGAAAGTGTGTTGTCCTTATTTAGACGTTTTTTAGACAAACAAGCACACAGACCTGATGGAAAGTGGAAGCTCTGGTCCACATATACATCTATCCTTAATTGACAATCAAAATTGTGTTGTCACCTAAGAACACTAAGATAGAAAGCCTCATTTTCAGTCTCCACGTCTCTTCAATTACCATATGCAACACGGCAGTATTAAGCTGCTATTTCACGCTGCTGTTCTATGAGGGTGTGATTTGTCCTCTATTGAGCCTTACAGCTTAAGTCCTACAGAATAGTCAGGTACCCTACAGAAAACCAATAACTTGTGACTGAGACATGTACACCATACAAGTGTGCGTGTTAAGTCCTTTACTTCATTTCATTTTCTTTGCATTGTCTCTGGAATGTATAATTCAATTTGTTTCAGCTCCATCAGGGCTAGCATTTGGCCAGGCATCGAATATTAAACCTATTAAAATTCAAGCTAGTTCTTTGACAAAACCATTAAGTCTGGGCATTGGACGAGGAGTTGGTGAGTGTCTTATCTGGTTTAGTATATTCAGTGTTAAGTTATTGCTTATCTATTATACACATTTGTAACTACTATCATGTTTAAGTCAAACGTTTTTTTTTGGTACTTTATAGGATGATTGAGGATTACCATTCAAATGAATAATAATAATAATAATAATATTCCACAACTATCACACAACGCCATCTAGTCCCAAGCTAAGCAGAGCTTGTGTTATGGGTACTAGACAACTGATAAACATACTTATATATTTCTAAATACATAAATATTATAGATAAATTACACCCAATATTTTTACAATAATTTTTTTTTACTTATTATGAGCCAGTGCATGACCACAATCCCACCTGGTGGTAAGTGGTGATGCAGTCTTAGATGGTAAATCGCCTTGAAAACGCCCAAATTGTATTCGGACCGAAAGACAGATGCCGGCAAATTAGTCCACTCCTTTGCTGTATGCAATATTAAAGTCGAAGCAAACCGTTTAGTTCTTATGCGTGGAATATCGACAACAAAGGGGTGAACCGCCGACCGCCTGGTTGTCCTATGGTGGAAAGGAGAGGGAGGAATTAAATTGAATTATTTACAAAAAGCAGTTTATAATTAGTCTCAGGTTGAAACTATTTTGTTTGAATAAAGAAGTCTTGAGGAAAATCTGCAAACTAAAATGTAGTATGAAACTCAACCGCAAATGTCAAGTTTCACGAAGACTGTGGTGCCATTGTTAAGGAACTCCTTTCACGACAAAGACTTCTTTAAACCCGAAATCAACTCTTCTTTAAATCATATTTTGTAACAATACCAATTATGTTGACTTTATTATAATATATTTGATGAAATTCTGTATGACTACTGTCACTAGTCATGTTGGGTTCGTCGCTCTTGACTACTTCGTTCGTCTGCCGCATGATGTATATAGAGAAGAAAAACTTCACAAAAACTTACGAAACGCAAGAAATAACTTACAAGCCTTCCACACTCGTCATTTTTATAGACAAAGGAAAAGCACAAGGCAGTGGCTAAAATAACTTATTACAGTTGTCAGGATGTATATGTTGCGACCCAATGATTTATTCATTTAGTTATGTATGGCTATACCTTACATAATAACATGTACTAATTAGTGTAACTACTAAAGTGGAGAGACACGGGAACAATAGTTTTTTATATGGGATAGGAAAATTTAAGATGCTGTGCCCTCTTTAAATCTTAGATCAATGACTAGATTAAAAATGAAGTATCAATATAGGCAAACTTTTCAAAAAGCTCAGCTTTTATTAAATTTCCTCATAAAGTAGTCTAAAAAATAACAGAAATTGGTGCATACATATTACGGTAAGTTGAAAGCACAGCGATTTTGTGATTGCTAATAAAGGCACTTTTACATAGTGCCAGCTGTCAGGCCGGTCGCATCATTCGCCGGTGCCGGCTCGTCGGCCGCGTACAACGCCGCTTCACTACTCGCTCAGAGTGAGTAACTTCATGATATACCATCAATGTGTCACGTAGTTGGGGGTTGTCAGATTTGTTTTATTAAATTATCTAAAACAGTAATTGAACTAAAAAAATAGATTGTTTCTTACTGAGTTTTCTTGCTAATCTGTTTCCGATTTTGTTTAAGTATACTTACTCCTTAACTTACATGATGGTTGGAGTGTGGTTCTGTGTATTTATATTGTTTGCTACCGGCTTTATTAAAAAAAAATTATATACACTTGAGAATTTTAAAAAGACCATCAAACCTGGCAACCCTGTTGGCACTCTGATAATATTACTGAATTCTAGTACTATATTTAGTTGTATCATTAGTTAATGTTATTCTGCACTATTTTATTGTTGTATTACAACTTGCACCTAATTCGTCTTTATGGTAGTAATTTTATTTTCTTAATTTTGTTCAGTATTTTAGACTGCTTCCAGTAGAAAGTTATGCCTTTTAACACCTAACTATTTAAACTTAATTAATAAATGCATTTTTCTTACAAACTTCTTGTACAGTCCGTACGGATAAAGAATGGGATTAGAAATGGCGGCCATTGACCCCGTACCGTCAACATGTACAGTACGAATAGCGTAAACCCGCAAATAGCGGTATATCGTTATATTATTTGGTTAATTGAAGATTCCCTATTAATGGGAAAATATTTGAAAATAAATGGTACATTATAATAGTAATATAGGTACATTAATTTTAAAATAATAACTTTCGAGCTGCTCTGGCTTCGCCTGGGTGAGATCTATTAATGTGGCGTTATTTAGACTTAAGATAATCATTAAAGACCATTTTTTATCTTATCAATGTTTCTATTTTAATAAAATCTCAATTTTTTTGTATACAATTTAATCTAGATCACTCCTTGTATTACTCTATCCGTTCGTGAAGTTTTATTACAATCGATTCAGCCAATTCGAAGATTAGCTCGGACAGACAGACAAAGGAAAATTTAATAAATGGTTGTTTATGTCTCAATTACATGTAAATATCTTACACAAAAATAGTAACAAGCGAAATCAAAAATAATTATGAAGAAAACTTTCAGAACGCATTGTACCTCACAAATTAGCAAAACTGGACTGATTTTTTGTTGTTTTTGGCATTTCTTTTATCGACGATTCCAATGACAAGTTGGAATGAAGTTATAGGACGTACGCAAAAGGCATATCGTAACGTAATTTTTTGCAGTCTTTACCGGTGCGAGCGAGAGGAGAATAGAGGCGACGCCATTTTCAATCCCATTCTTTAACCATACGGGTAGTAAACTTATTTATTGTCAACTTCATATTTTTATTCTAGGTAGGAGAGACACTGCTTATTCTTCCTTCATTTTAAATTTTAAATTATTTTATTATTTAGTGAGATACTAGAGACTCGCTTGTATTTTGTTGTACAGTATGTAATTGCACACATCAATGTAATATAATTCTATCAGTTTAGGTCATAAAATGCCAAGATTAATTTCTCTACTATCTTTACATAAAATATACATGGATATATACATTTTAAATGATCGTAAAAATCTCCGTGTAGTGGCGGATTAGGAATCTATTACCAACTACTATGAATAATTTTTATCTGATGATTGGAAATTCGGCCCTTAATCAAACAATAACATAGCGTCATGCCTGTATTCTCGTGGGACGAGGCAGAGTCCAAAAAGTTACTCGGACCACATTTAGCAAAAAAAAAAATGTTTTAGATAGAAAATTGTGAATGAAGTGAAAGGTGCCTGCAAAACTAAACAGAAACAGATTTTTTTTTATTCAATATACACTTAACGGCACGGAAACTTGGCCACTCGTGAATTTGCTGATTATTTGCACTGAAACGTTTTTTTAATAGTAAATTAAGGGTAGATGCATTCAATAAGTGTCTCTAATGGTTTTAGAACGTAGAAATTTAATGTTTACTTCACCGAAATTTTTCTTTTCAAGATAACATGTTTTCACTAAAATTAACATCTTTCCATTGTCACTTTAAAAACACTACAAAGTTAAAAATTAAGTCTGTTTCTTTATTGTCTATCAGTTTTAATATCGGATGTTTCGTCCCCTAGCCCTGATAACCGCTTGCATTCGATCTGGCATGCTTTGAATAATGTTTCTGACATCAACTTGCGGTATGCTGTTCCAAGCGGCCAGCGCTGCATTTCGGAGCTCATTTAGAGTTTGTGGCGGTTTGGAGCTGGACTTTATCTTTCTTTTGAACATACCCCATACATGCTCAATTGGATTTAAGTCCGGGCTACGAGCTGGCCACTGTAATTTTTGTATTCCAACCTCTTCCAGATATTCCTCTACACAATGTGCGACGTGCGGGCGTGCATTATCGTGCATGAGGAGGAATTGGTCGTGTCCAATGAATCCCGAATAAGGAATTACGTGCTCCTGAAGAACTTCCTCGATGTATCGAGTAGCTGTAAGCCGATTATCGACGATGACCAACTCTGTACGTGCGTCGGAACTTACACCTCCCCATACCATTATTGAGCCTCCATGGAAACTCACAGTTTGGGTGGTGGTAATGGGTAGAAACCTCTCTCCTCTTTTTCTCCACACTCGTTCTCGACCGTCTGGAGCACGTAAAGCTATTCGACACTCATCTGTGAACAACACTCTAGCCCATTGCTCGTGGGTCCAATTGACATGTTCTCTTGCGAACTGAAGTCGGGCTACTCGGTGCTGTCTGAGAAGTTCTGGACCTCGTGCTGGTCTACGAGCTTTTAAATTCACTTCCTCCATTCGTCTTCTCACCGTACGCTCACTAACATTAACGCCTCTTGCGATTTGGAGCCGCTGGCGTATCTCAACAGCAGTCAGGTAGCGGTTTCTCAAAATCTCCATAACAATAAAACGATCGTCCCGGGCCGATGTGCACCTTACGCCCCCACTGCCTGGCCTGCGGGTGTAGCGTCCTGTCTCCTGGTATCGTTTCAGTGAATACTGCATTGAGGACCGTGGTACTTTAAGCACAATAGCAACTTCACGCTGTGTCAGCCCTTGGTCAATTAATGCTACTGCTTGTGCAACTTGTGCTGGTGTTAATGGCATTTTTATTGGCTTTAAAGCACCTTTAGTTATTGAATTAAGACACAAGATCACAATAATTGAATAACCTTACAGTAAACTTTTCACAACACACAAATTTAAAATGTGAACTTAGTCGCTCAAATAACCCGATTCAACTAAAAATTAAAGAATTCGTCATGGTGCACTTAAACATAATGAATTACCCTCTTGAACTTGAGAGCAAACATTTTTTGACATACCTGCATAACAAACATTCATAAGAAACACTTAAAGCTTTTGCTATCGCGAGATAACCGCTTGGCCAAGATTCCGTGCCGCTGAGTGTAGATTATAAATAATACTTATTGAAAGTCACTCTTTTGTATGATTACCACTGGTTCGAAAAAAAAACCTCTGTCCTGGGAAGAACCAGCAAGAAACCCAGCGGGATTTTTTTTAAATAAAAGCTTACAATCATGTATGTTACACAAATTAACAACACAATAAATTAGAAATAGCTTGGTAGCGATCACCTCATTTCCAGGGGTTATTATCATCTAGAAATTCATTAATATTATAATAACTCTTTTTATACAAACTTAGTTTAATAAAGTTTTTGAACTTTGAGCAGGTCAAATTTTGTATATTTTCTGGAATTTTGTTGTAAAAGCGTATACATCGCCCCAAGAATGAATTACTGACTCGATGGCGTCGAGTAACTGGTACTACTAGCTTGTGTCTGTTCCTAGTATTTACAGAATGAATATCACTTATTTTTGTAAAACTACTTTTATTTTTGTGTACGTACATTACATTTTCATAAATGTATTGAGAGGCCAAAGTTAATATATTAATTTCCTTAAATTTTTGTCGCAGCGATTCTTTAGGCTTTAAATCATAAATTGCTCTTATGGCCCTCTTCTGTAAAACAAATATAATTTCAGTGTCAGCTGCGTGTCCCCATAGCAAAATACCATACGACATTATGCTATGGAAATAGCTAAAGTAAACTAGTCTAGCTGTTTCAACACTGGTTAGACTTCTAATCTTTTTTACAGCATATGCTGCAGAACTAAGTCTGCTTGCTAGTTTTGATATATGGGGGCTCCATTGAAGCTTCGCGTCTAGTGTGATTCCAAGAAAAATGGTGGTATCTACAAGACTCAGTTTCTCCTCATTTGAGGACCCATACCAATACTAAAATAATACAAAACAAATATTCCATTAATTGCCTTTATATCAAGCTAAGGCAATTAACATTGTTGGCACATTTTTCTTTGTTATAAGTCCCACTTAAACATAGGACCTATAAGTTCTAGACCAACACGACGGTCCGATACGACTTAGGGACCTTCAAGAAAAGAGCCTACTCTTTTTGAAAAGGTCGGCAACGCATCTGCAATTCCCCTGGTGTTGCAGTAGTTAATGGGCGGCGGTAGTCGTTTACCTTCAGGTGAGCCGCATGTTCGTTTGCCCCTCTCCTATAAAAAAATTGTACAATAAAAATAATAGTCAATGAAAAACGAGCTAATTAAATTATTAAGCTTGCAGCTAGCAATTTGCAGCGATTTCTTTCTTCACTCGTCAATGCTGGCGATTTCGACACTGTATATTTCAATTTTTTTTAAGTGTTATACATTAATTAATTACCCTACATGTGCTGTCGTAAATATGAGTTGCGCAAAAATTTTACGTCGTAGGTCCATTTTTCAAGGGGATTATTGAGAAGGGAAATTCGCATTTAGAATGCCCATATCTCTTCACATATAAATTATTTTTCTGTTGATTAAGGTGAATGACCATAATTTGTGACCTCGTAGACTTTCGAATCATAAAGTAGTCGGTATCTATACAGAAACTTAGGTGCTGGTCTGGACCAATGATTGCTTATCTGCCCATCACTATAAAGTACCATAGTGGACTTTGCATTGGACTTTTAATTTATTTGTATGGATGTTAAATAC